TAATCACCGAGCTAGCTCTCCCACCCCTAAGTGGTATTTTGAGACAACAAACTGGGGTCTTCAACAGCAGCTGAGGCAACATCAGGACCAAGGGAGCTTGCTTGCTCTCTCAGTTCTGCATCGCTGGAAGACTCTGGCTGATGCCATTATAGTCACGGGTGAGCAGCCAGTGACTGGGCTACATTAAATTAGGTCCCCATGAGGTTGTTTCTAGGAGGGAAGAAAGGGTCATGAGTCACTCAGACTCCTTCAAAAGCCTGCAGAGTTAGGTCTAGGAAGTCACACATAACAGATGTCTGGTACACGTACCAAATGTTTGATGGCTTTCTGATTTTGTGAAATTATTAAATTCTAATGATCTTATCTTGTTTTGAGAGACAGCATAACTTTGGAGTTTCACATGAAGGCAAAAATAATACATCACTCTTATTTAAACATATTGGCAAAGTTGAATCCCAACCGCTTTCCCCAATACACAGCCTGAGCTGTGAAGAAGGCACACGAATCCACTTCTTTTCGTGCATGCTTCCAACCATGTTTTCATGGTTCCACAGCCTTGCTGTCTGTGAAGGCTACAGAGGAGAAATCTCTACCCTGCACAGATTCTCATTTTCCACATTGAATATTTAATTTCATCTTGTTCTAATTACTTCTCAACATTACTGATTCCTGTTTGTCATAGTTGGAAATCAGCGTCCAGGAAGGACTATAATGATTAATGCACACAGGCTTCTCCTACTGTGGGGCATACTTCAGGGGCTCCAGGGGAGGGATAGATAGTCATGGATGCACTAGGGAACACATCCTCTTGGGGAGAATGGTACACCAGGGGGTCAAATGTCAAGTGCCACATTGCCAGGCTCAGGCAGCAGTCAGCCTGAGGTTGGTGGATCGGGACAAGGTCAGGAAACCCAGTTGGGTCTTTAGGGTGGTGAGAGATTTGCATGTTTCAGGAAATGTGGTTGAAGGTGAGGCATGACCTAATCCTGAAACCACCTGAGCTAGTTTTGAGCCCTGGCCACGGTCCCCAGGCTCAGTGCTGCTGTCCCCCCCAACCCCCACCCGCTCACCGCCTGCCTGCTTGTTTAAACATTCCTCTTCAATAAGAAGAGCTACCAGAGCTGGTGCATTCTCAGAGCCTCTTTTCCCCACTTCTCCCTACTGTAGAGATATCAGATAGAGGCGTCTTCTATTCCTTCCTTTCTATGGTATATTTCAAAAGGAAATTGTCTCCCTAACCATCATGAGCAAATATGAATATAGTAAGCACTGTAGAGCACTGCAGTCTCCTGGCCTTTGTGAGGTTCCGGTCCACTCTCTGCTCTGGTGCTGGAGAGTTCCTTGGGGTTCTGCTGTTTACTTCTGATTCTGGGGTAAAGTCACCCAAGTTCTACATTCATTTTAAACCTTGTCCACATCAGCCTAAGTAGAGCGTCTTGCCCCTCCTTTTCTATCGTGGCTACCAAGCAGCCAGACTTGGGAACAGTTCTCTGGGCTCAGGTAGGCCATTTGCATTTCTATGGCTCCTCAGGCTGCCTGACAAAGGTTCCCTCCTCTCGGAGAGCCTGGAATTGGAGTGTCTCAGCTTCTTTCCTACCTGACAAAGCAATTGGAAAGAAAGGGGATTATTCTGCCTCACAGTTTCAGGTTACAGCCCCAATCCAGGGAAGTTCCAGCAGCTGCTCTGGACAGCTGGCGTGACTGCAGTCAAGGCGCCGAGAGCACACGGATGCTTGTCTCCCCTTTTCATCTGACGCAGGGCCCAGCGCCAGAAATGGTACAGATTACATGCAAGGTAGGGTAGGTCCTCACACATCCTTACAGGAAGCTGATCTCCAACTATGGGATTCCTGAATGTTCAAATGAGGGGGTCTCTGGGTCTCTTGGGCTCTTTTCCTTCTCTGTTGGTTTGTCTTGCCCAACTTCAATGTGAAAGTTTTTATCTTATATTTTATTTTGTTGTATTTTAAAGAATGAATGAATGAGTGAATATCTAGCCACTTGAGTAAAAATAGCAGCTGAACTGTCATTTATATCTGCTGGGAGCAGGAAAATCAGTTTTTCTCAATGAAGTGGCACTGGGCATATCCACCACTCCAGGGCAGAGCTCACGCCCAGGATTATATGATCAACATATAATAGAGTCTACAGTATTTTTGTACGCTTCTATTTGGTTACAGTTTGGTGGGGCTTTTGCTGATTTGTTTTGGGGGTATTTTCTTTTTGGTTTGGGAGGGAGGGTTTGTAGTATTTATTTTTCAAGAAAGAAATTAACGTTGGGGTGGGTAGGGAGGGAGAGTGGATCTGGAATGACTTGGGGGAAGGGGAGATATAATCGAGACTATTTAAATTTAAAAATTGTTTTAAGCAGAAAAATATTTTAAAAAAGAATTAAGCCCTTAAGCAGCATGTCAGGGATAGCCATGATTTATTGCTTATTTATTTTTTTATCTTTTATTTTTTTGATTTTTCGAGACAGGGTTTCTCCGTAGCTTTTTGGTTCCTGTCCTGGAACTAGCTCTTGTAGACCAGGCTGGCCTCGAACTCAGAGATCCGCCTGCCTCTGCCTCCCGAGTGCTGGGATTAAAGGCATGTGGCACCACTGCCCGGCGATTTATTGCTTATTGATGAGGTAACATTGATCAGTTGTCATTAGCTCTCATGGCCTCGTGTTTATGTCAGCTCTCATTGCCTCAATTTAAATATATTTTAAATGTAAGACTTTGAATATGACAGTCTTCTAGTGAATAAATGTATTCACATAAAAATATAAACTTTAAAAAATTTGTTTATATAAGAAAGACCCCCCCCAAGTGATTACAAATGCTGCCAAGTTTTAGGCAAAGTTGTGCTTTTGTTTGTTTGTTTTGAGACAGGGTCTCACGTAGTCAAGGCTGGCCTGAAACTTGCTTTGTACCCAAGGATGAGGATGAACTTCTGATCCTCCCATCTCTCGCACCCATGTGCTGCCCTTACAGGCATGAATGCCACTCCCAGTCCAAAAGACACTGGTACATGGGAGAACTTAGTCAGCAAAACCAGCTGCAATTCTGTGGAGAGAAAGAACCATCTTCAAGGGTCAAAGCATCTGGGATGAAAAAGTGGAGCTGTCCCGTTGGTACTGCTTCTTGGTGAAAGGAAAGGCCAGCAGATAAAGAGGGAGGGTAAGCAAGACTGGTTCCATAAAAGGCCAGATATTTGGGAGGCTAAGGGAGAAACTTGGCAGGAGAGGGTAAAAAAGACAGTCTGAGAAAGTAGAACCGACAGAGAAAATCCCTGTTGGTAAGATTGCTGTGCTGTGCTGTGCTGTGCTGAGTATGGAGTATGAGAAGGTCCTAGGTTATCACAGTTCCCATGCTGAAAGGAATGTAGGAGCCAGGCAGGTTCTGAGTAGCATCAACTTTTGGTGAAACAAAGTGTTTTCTTAGTTTTAACCAGCAATGCTGAGCAATAAAAGTTCACACAAGTTTTGTTTCCACTAAATATAACAAGAACAAATATAATGTTGAATGACAGCTGATTTAGGGATATCATTATTCCTGTTGGGTTTCAGCAACATTTTAATTACTGACAATGGAAATGAAATATAAATCACACACATAAAAACAATATGATGTTTGTTTTGAGAAAAATATGAAAGAAAATGATTATTAGAGTGAAAATAAAATTGGTCCTTTTTTCCATTTTTTTCTACAAAGGAAAAAGTGAGTCACCCATTTTCATCCTTGATTAGGAAAATCTTCCATTCATTCTATATTAATTAAATTTTAAAAAAAATTATTGAGATGTTGACTATACATTTCAAATGTCCTATTTATCAACCTTCGAATTTTGCCTTTTTCTATTCTCCTATGAACAAGCACACATACAAACAAACAATAACAAAACCAAGAAAAACTCAAAAGCAGCTAATTTTTCTAATGACAAGTCATGAGATATCTCCAACTTTATGGCTTGCAGCCTAAACTCTAATTCTAAAATATTTAAGTGATATAGTCACATGTTTCCCCATTTTGCTCCCCAGTCAACTAGATTCCAGTTTACAATAAGTGCCAAGGGGATTTTTCCCTAAGCAAGGTGCCATGTTAACTTTCCTTAGAATATATTTTATAAGACAAAAACCAACAGCAAAACATACCATCTAATTAAAATTCAGAATACAAGTTTAATACATATAGCTTGCACAAAATTTTTATCAGCTTTTCCCACACAATATAGTGAAAAAATTAGTATGGTCCCTTATTTTGAGGAAAAGTAGCATAAATATGATTTTTTTATCTAAAGATGATATTATGAAAATAAAAAGTCACCAAAAAATGGAAGATGAATATATCAGTGGCTGTATGCTAGAGTGAGCTTTTAAAAATATATTTTAAAGTAGTATGTCTAAAAGCTCCAGTTTAATGGGCAGTATCTAATTATGAACATCACTCATCAAAAATAATTAGCACAAAGCAAACTAGCACAATGCGATTTAAGTGAAAGTAGAGCACTCGTTACTAAAGGTCAAGATTTTCGGTGAGTACCGAGTCCATGTCCCAATTCATCATTTATTAGATTTAGAAACAATCTGGAAAACCGTCAGAAAGCAAAAACCCATCATTTGTAATCTATTTCTTCATTTCTTTTGCAAAATCATCAGGACTGATTCAGGCACTGCTCCAGTCCGTAAAATGCTGGACAGAGCGTGCACCTGCCAAGCTCAGTGCAGAAAGCATACAGGACAAGAGGGAGGGGAGAGGAGGGATTAGTTACTTGCTGCTTTGGGAAGCATAGAACTCATTCTATTGTGGGTTGATCCTTTTGGCACAATCCCATCCAGTGTCCTTACCAAAATACCACCCACAAGAAATCCTGTTTCCCCGGGAGGGGTTATAAGCTTGAAGAACCAAATATCTGAGGAAATAGCCGGCTCAGGGAAGGGGGAGTGGTTGGAAGAATTCAAGTGACCCCGTGACGTCAGGAAGAAGCAGAGGTTTAAGGAATGGAGTGGAACTCACCGGGCCGCACAGATGTCAAAGGTCAAAGGGCTTAGCCTTGCAGGCTCCCCAGATGCAGGAAAAATGAAACGCCCCTCCTGAGCTCTCAATGTAAAGCAGAAGTCCAGGGGCTCAGTTGTTTCTGCCTCTGACGCCAGGGACAAGCCCTACCATGCACGGTCTTGGCAATAGTCAAAAGCAAGACCCGCCCGATTTCAGAGCCCTAGCTCGGGAATCCCCTAATACTCCTTCCCCCCACCCCCTCCCGCGCCGGAGGCCACAGACACCTTCATCTTCACTCCCCACCTTCTTCTGGCCCTCTCGCTCTTAACAGCATCGGTCTCCATGGCGACCTGAAACCGCAGCTCCCATTGGCTTGTTCAATATGAGGGCCGGGCCAATGGGGAGGGCCGGCCTTCTCCTTCCGCCCAATGGGGCGGGCGCGCAGCCTGCCTGGGGACGGCGGCGTGCTGACGTTCCCGGGTGCCGGGACTGGCCGGGCGGGCGGGCTGGCGGCGGGGCGGCGGCCTCCGAGCAGTCTGAGTGGCTCCGGGGCTGAGTGCGCGTGGACGCTGGCCGCGGTGGCGGCACTATGGGCACGGGGTAGAGGCGAGCTGCCGCCGCCACCGGGGTGGTGGGAGAGCCTCTCCGGGGGAGGGGGCGGGTGGGGAGGGAGGGGCGGGCAGCGGCGCGGTTGCCGCACTTCGATCAGTTTGCTCCGGTGCCGCAGCGGCGACCCTTCGGTGCGGACGTCCCTGCTTCCCGGAGCGACGATGACCTCCGTCTGAGCTGGAAAGTAAGTGTGCGGCGCTGGCGGGAGGGCGCGGGGCTCCGGGGCGCGAGCTGCCCGGAGCGCGCCGAGCCGGGACCTGGCGATGGCCGGGCGCCCCCCGCGGCTCCGCGGCCGCGGACGCTCCGTCCCCGCCGCGTGCTCCACCATCCCGCCCGCCTCTCCCCTCCCCCCCGGCGGCGCACAACTTTGCCCCGCACGGTTCTACACGGCCGATTCTCCTCCGGTACCCGAACTTGAGCCCCGCGGCTCCCGCGCGCCGTCGCTCGCGCCGGGGGCCGGTAGTCTGTCGGTCTGTCCTTCGTTCCCCTGAAGCAACCGCTTATCGCTGCCTCCCACGCCCGCCCCGCGTGTCGCCCCGGCCCTTGAAGCCGCACTGGTGCTTGTGGAGACCGCCTGGCGGGTCCAGGGTTCCCAGCTCGCGGCAGCAAACCGCACGCTCCTCCCTCGCGGGCGCCCCAGCTCCAAGGCTACGGGCCACCCTCCCGCACCGCCCTGCCTCCTCCCGGTGCCAGGAGTTGGAGCGGGCGCTGCACCCATCGGAGGATCGGGGGTCCCTGTCCCCTCCTGCTCCTTGGGAAACGAGGGGACCAGCGGCGGGGCCGGGATCTGTCGGTGTGGTGGCTGAGTGCGACACCCCGCGAGCGCAGGCAGCGGAGGCGCCGCGGTTGCTCCGGGCGCCGCGATAGGCAGGTGTGTGTGTGTCTGTGTGTGTGTGTCCAACGGCGACGCGCGCTGCCAGCTCGTAGGCTGGCGACAGATTGTGCTGGAATGCAAGGAATGCACCAGGGACAGAGTCCGCACGGGCCACGGTCGCACTAGCGCCTTGCCGGCCCTGCTTTCCCCGCGCAGCCAGAGGTCACGGAGCATCTTCAGAGCTGGTGAGCTTCGTTCACTCTCCTGCCTCCGCTTCTCTCCCTGCGGCAGAGGGTGGCGGAGAGGGAAGCGTGGTAGTTTCTTGGGGCTCTAGCTTATGGTTCTGGGATTTTGCTGCATTGGTCCCCAGGACCATGAATTTGGGTGTCAGTGTAGCCAAGGTTATTGATCGTTGCACTAGGCTCTTGACAAGTTTGGTTTTGCAAGGTTTGGATAGAGCTTTTTTTTTTTTTTTTAAACTAGGGTTTTCTGAGTACCCGCAGAAGCAGAGGGCCGAACGTTCTTGAGTGACAAGCTTGCGGCTAACATATTTTAGGTGTATCAGAAAACGCCTTTTGGTGCTCCAGGTCCGGGCTGTACCGCGAGAAATCTTGAATGCATCACTGCTGTCATAAGGGTTGGAATATTTCCCCCCCCCCCGTCATACTGGGCTGTGTTTAGGCCTCGTATAATACATAATGAATAGAAACAGAGCAGCAGTGTTTGGCCAGCGATGGGACAGATAGAACTGTCTGGTACAGTGAATTCGGGGCGTGTAAGTTACCACTGCAAGTAACCCGGAGACATCACAGTCATGTATATTTCAAGATGTAATTTATTAGTGGAAAGGGCCATTTCTCTCTCTGTCACCGAGTTTCACTGAATAATAAAAAGCACAGTTCTACAACTTTTAAAGATTGGTAAATATGTATAAAATTAATAATGGCTACTATCCATGTTTTGGTCAGTTAATACAGAAAGGCAAAAATCTGCCATATGCTCTCCCAGAACCGGGATTCAGTTTTTGCTTTTGAGAAAGTAGAATTCGCCTCTTTTTAGATGGAGTGTATTGCGTGGATGTATCTTCTTTTCTGATACCTGAGAAACAGTTGTGGAAAATGGCAACGTGAAAGCAAGAACAATGCCTGGAGGAACTGCTTCTAAGCTTGCCTTGTGTACTTTTCATTCCAGGCTGTTTGCTTTGAAGGTTGCAGGTACTATAAAACCCTCCGCACTTGGTTATTTTGTATCCGATTCAATAAAAGAAGAAGTCAGTTGTTGAGCCAGTCTCCAGTTTTCCGACCCCTACTTTGCATGCATCAAGGGCATTGAAAAGTCTGCAGGCATTTTAGTTAAGACCCAAGGGAGATGAAATGAAAGGTTGTGTCTTCTAGTTGTTACATTGTTTTTCAGGTATGTCTGTAATCAGTGAACCTTCTAATTTCGAGGGTTAATTCGCCTACAGTAACAATAGGGAGGATTTTGGGAAGTGTTTGTAAATGCCTACATGAAACTTTTATTATGTAACAATACTTTATAACAGCTTAACTCTTGCTCGGTTAATTGGACTTCAAGATTGGTAAGTTAAAGCAGGAGGAGGAGGAGGTAGGTTCTGCAGCACAGTGGTTGCCATTTACCTGGCGTGTGTGAGGCCCCAAGCCCATTCCCCGCTTTTACTCCCCGAAACGTAAGAGGGAATTTAGTTTCTCTGATGCATCAGAAATGAAAAATTTTGTTCAAGTATGCAGAGTGTATATGAGCATGATTGATTGGGCAGTTAAGTTTCACCTGCTTCAGGTAAAAGCAGGCTTTCAATTGGAAATGCATCCTGTTTGTTAGAGGCTTAAGAAGAGGCTCGTAATCTATAATCATTGGGAATATCAAACTGTTCTGGCCAAAGCCTTTACCTTCTATTATATAAGGAGAAGGTGCTGCATTTGGCATGGGAATGCTGCGCGGAAGACTCTGGAATGGGAGGGATTAAGTATAGTGCTGCTTCTTACCGCTAATGTTTTTGGAAGGAGGTAGAGTAGCAGGGAAATGTTGGCAAGCCTGAAAGAAGGAGCAGCTGCTGCTGAGCCAGAGAGAAAGTCACACGCATTGTTGCTGCATTTACAGGCTGCATAAAGCAAGATAATCCCGTGAATGGATCTGACATAAGTTTAAAGAATCCGCTACCCATTTCAATCTAATAAAAACCCGAGCAATTGTATAACCTTGAGATTTCAGATTAAGTCTGCATTAATCATAACTGCAATTTTATTTCTTCTCTGTAGAAATTGGCAAAATAAATTAAAAAAATTTAAACTACTTACGTTGATATTTAAAAATCTAGTTTTTTGTCATCTTTTAAACAGAAAGTTACCCCCCCCCCCCCCCCCCCCCCCGTGTTATCCAGAGATCTGTTTAAATAGATTTTCATAGCCGGCATGATGCCAGCCACCTGGCAAATTGTGACCCTTACCTGACTCCTTTCAAAATCAAGATTATTTTGAGAATGGCCTATATTCTGATGTTTTTAATTTACTTTGAGAAATAGCTCCTTGCTTAAGTGGAAAACAGCTTTCTCTTTCAGTTGATGAAAAGTAGAGTTTGTCGTAGGGTTGTTCTAGAACATAAACATCCATGGAGTTGTACGCCCCTTTGGAGAGTTGCCCTCAGCTTTCTGGGATGACTCCTTCTTCCATATGGCAAATTAGCTCTAGTATCTTTCTGCGTTGAAGGGGAAGATGGCTCTGAAACGGAACACCAGTGGATAAGATGCATTTGGAGAATTAAGTAACTGTTTCATGGCCAAACCTTAACCACAGATGGTCGTGCCAGAGAAAGGTAAAACTGTAAGGGCCGTGGATATCAAGCTTCACGTGGGTGCAAAGAATGATGTGGCAGCCATCAGCTGGCCAGCCATCTTCATGCCAGGAGTGAGAATCCCAGTAAGGGGATCAGGCCTGAGGATGCCAAGACCTACAGCTATGATTGTAATGGGCTCACAGCACCGAAGTGCTTCTCACATTGCCACTTACTAATTCAGTGGAATTCTCTCAGTCTTTGGGGGGAATGTTACAGTGACTAAATAGGGGGTGTGTGACAAGAAGGTACGCCTCAGTTATATATAGAACTGCTTCACGTATTTGTTGGCTAAATTGCCTTTTTTCCTGTCATGGTTAGATTTCCTGTTACCTGATTTGCTCATAAATGTTGGTCACATTGCTTGTCATTTTATTATTCATAGCCTTGATAACATAGTTATAATATGACTCATAATGATTCACGGCCGATGGTAAATTGTCAATAGGGGTTGAATTATAAAGTTTTAATGGTATAAAATATGTAAAATATGGAAGTCTCAGAACTCCTAGGCATTTTTCGGGTGCCGAATCGTGCCTGGTTGGATAGATGATAGATGTTGTAGATAGCTCCCTCCCCCGGCTTAGAGCTGCCAATAGAGTACGTAGAGGGAGAGCAGAGGAGCCAGTAAGTCTTTCCATGACAGCCACAGTGTGAGCGATTTCTCCTGTTAGTGTCTTAGTTATGGTTTCTATTGCTGCGACAAAACACCATGACCAAAAAGCAAGTCGGGTAGGAAAGGGTTGATTTGGCTTATGCTTCCACAATGCTGGTCATGATTGAAGGAAGTCAAATAGGGCAGGAACCTGGAGGTAGGAGCTGATGCGGAGGCCATGGACGGGTGCTTGCTCAGCCTCTTTTCTTACAGAACCCTGGACCACCAATGCAGAGA